ATATTTTCTTACACCCCTACTTGAAACATTGGCTCTAGTAAAAAAAAAGGAAATACGCTTGCAAAATTAATTATATTGGACTAGACTTTTAGAATTCATTAGCAGTTTTTCTCTGACGTTACATCCAGAACTATAAATTAAGTTAAGGACACCTTTAGATGTCTGTTTTGTAGCAGATGTCAAAAATACAGACAGAATAATACATGTTAAATAAAAAGTAAACATTTATAATATAGTAATTTGTTGTCTCTCTGGTGTTTGGTTGTCTCCTTCAGACCAAAACAGTTCAGTTATGCAGTCATCTGAAGAGAAGTGGAGTGTCTGTGAGCAGCAGTCTCTTCTTCCCAAGGGTCGTCTTCCTCTCCCCTGACTGCAGGCTGGATGAGGAGCTGATGAAGAGGAAGGAGCTGGTCTGCCATAAGCAGATAGATGACTTCCTTAGATCTTTTAAGGAGGGCTACATGGCCTGGATAACTGATGCCTTCACTCCCTCCTGGATTTCAGGTGGGTAGATTATCTAAGTTGAAGACTATTTACACAAGTCTAAAATATACCTCTTTTTTTTCTATAACTCATGTTTCTAAAATGAAAGTATTCCTTGAAAGAATATATTTTGCCACTTTTAAGGGCACAGTTTTAGACTAAGATCATCCTATGAGAGAGTCATGGCTGTGAAGTTATTAGAGGTTAGTGCTGATGTTAAAAGCACCACACTATATTCTTAGGTTTTCCTTTTTGTAATGTTGACAATGTTTAATCTATTATGTTTTGATTGAAATAAGTTCAGTTACATGTCCGAAATATGTGACAACACATAATCAAACGTTGTGATGACAATAGCTGAGGATTTTGTCTGAATGCCTGTGATTCAGCCGTAGGTCAGTAGGGGGCGAACGCAGGCATTGAAGAAGATGTACAGTATATATACTGTATATGAACTTCCTGGTTTTCTGGGAGTGTTGGTTTCCTGTCAGCTTGAGTGACAATAAACCTCACTCAGATCCAGAATTCTGGTGTTGTATGGTTTGATTCCTTCTACAAATCATTTTATTTAACAATTGTGTTTTTAATATCGACTTCAGTTTATTGAATACGAATTTTCTTACAGCTGTTTTGATCATTGTGCATGATTTCACGACATCGTGTCATGCTAAGCTTATGTGTTGTGAATAACATTCAGCTACAAACAAAACTGTTTCTCAATCTGTAAAACTGACTAGGTTGTTTTTATGTTTTGTAAGAGCAGTTGTCTGTGGCAGCCATCTTGGATCAGGTTGACCCCGACACTGAATCTRCAGATAAACAGACAGGCAAAAAACATTGATGTCTTTACAAGTGAGCTTCCAGCTCAGTTGGTATTTTTTCTGCTCTGCAGGTCATCTGTCATACAGGCAGATAGAATCGGTGCGGGAGGTCCTTAGGAAGGTGGGAACGTGGGATATGGTGCGGCTGCACTGTGGCGAGCAGCTGAAAGGAGACTATCAGGGCTGTCAGTACATCGCGCTCGACCGTCAGGAGACCGACATGCTGGAGTTTTCCAGCATCAGGACGCTGTCAGCTGATTCCTTATGGGCTCTGCTRGGCCATGTTCCTCAGGTCAGTCCACTAACCTGACTCTGAAGATGCTGTCTGTGGCTCTAAGCGATGAAGTGATTTGTAAAGCCTAACATAAACCAGAAGGTGGCAGTAGTCCTTCATTGGTGTCTTAACATTTTTAGTTCTATAGTTTTTTTTTTTCTGGTAAAACACAGGGTTAATTTGCACAAAAGACCACTGAACATGACACATAYTAAAAAGTCATTTAGATATATTTAAGATCTATTGACAAGATAGATGTAAGAAAATTACTGTTTAAATCTCATAGTGAGTGATTTTAGTGCCTTTGAGTCATTTAAATAGATGAATCTAGGTTTTATTGGAATTTCTGTWTATCAAAAATTACATTAAGCAGGGTTTAGTTAAACTAATTGTTAAGCATTTGATTATTAAATGTTTGTGTTTCTTTTTTACAAATACATTTTTTCAGTGTTACAAAAAATCCTAATTAGCTTTTTTAAAATACACCTGGTGACCTTCACTTCAGTGTCCACACGCAGTTTTCATTTTAATTAATTCTCCAAATGTGAATTATTTTCAAAACTCTTCAGTTTTTTATTGAGGTAATTAATTTCACCTGCCTGCAAGCTACTCATTRCTGTAGCTCTTTAGATTCAATCAAGAATCAAGTTATAAGCCAAAAAATGAATCCATTGGGATTGTTTACTGTTTTGTTATTATTATTTTGTGATTTGCACTATTTTTATTGTCATTGCATGGATACAATTTAGGCTCAAATATTCCATCAGATAAACAGTTTTTGGCTCTTACTGRTGGTATGATTGATCCACTTGTCAGTTAATTTTCTGAATGAAGTAAACATTACCTCTTCAAGACCAAAAAGTCTGACCTGTGCTCGGCATCCATTACCATTTCAGCACCCCCAGCACCCGAACACTCAGACTAGACCCTCMATACCAGCCTGGGCTTCAGTTTGCCCCCCATCTCCCACCCCCAGACTGTATCCCCATTTGCCTCCAGCTGCTGTGTATTTGATACATGACCCCAGCAGTCATTAGACGGTCTCCAGCAGACTCTTTTTTTTTTTTTTTTGCCCGCGGGGACACAAGCAGCAGCGACCGCAAAATTTATTATTTTCTAAGAAATATTTGCACAATGCAGGAAGACAAGAACCTTCTCCCACTGTGCTACAAAAAAAAAAAAAAAAARCACGCCACATTTGGTTTTACCAAACTTAGATTTAGGTTTGTGTATTTTATTGGAAGGCTAATCAGAAAAAGAGGATTTTACCGACAGATTTGCRCAACAACCTGAATCGTTTCAGGCTCAGCGCTGGTGTCGATACCGTCTGAAGATGTCCACTTTGCTCTTGAAGCAGCTGCAGACGAAAGCTTGAGGGGTGGCAGGGAAACCCGATACCTCCCTTGGGTATATTTTCAGAGCTCAGAAATAATGCATGCTTTTGATTTGTTCCTTGTAAACACACTGGCTAAAAAACCTGTGGTATGACCTCTGGTTTCATTTGGGCATCTGTTTGCTCTGTAAGAAGTGGCATCAGATGGACTCAAAAAGCCACCTTTGAGGCGCCTTTTTTAATGTCTTTTTTTTTGTGAGCTTGGGTAATTACTCAGTGCTGAATGGGATGTCTACATGCCCCAAAGTGGAGAATGATAGAGTAGAGTGGCTGCAATTTATTAATTATGGTCTATATTCTTAGACCACAGTTCTGGCTTCATTCAATTTGTATGGATTGAGAGGGTAATTACAGTGTGTGTGTGTGTGTGTGTGTGTGTGTGTGTGTGTGTGTGTGTGTGTGTGTGTGTGTG